GAGACCTGATTATAGCACTTAAAACCTGGAAAAGTCAGATTTTCATGATATGTCACCTTTAATGTAATGCTCAAATAACAAGAAATTGCAATGAATCTGCACAAAAGAGATGCCTCACAACTAACATTCAACATCAAATCTGCAACAAGTATAACAGTCACTGATGGTGCTAAAGATGAGCCAGGAAAAGACAGCATCCCTCATTTCCTCATTTATTGTGTTATAGCAATAGTTACTGGCACACATTCAAGCACTGTTCAATTATTTATTGTATATGGCTTGTTTCCAAGTATCAGGCCACCATGGGCCTCTCAGCTGGAGGTCCCTGACAGTCAGAGGACCCCCATCACTGACCCCGTTGGCTTGTTTTATAATCTATCCTTTGTTAAAGATGGTAACAAGGAGTAAAGCAGGGAAAGCGATACCGCATCCCACAGCTTCACAGCTGAACTGCTGAACCTCAAAAATGCCTGCGCTTGTCCACTCTCTGTAATTCATTTGCGCTTCTTTGAAATCCAATTGTTCTGCATTAATACCTTCTGCCTAAGAGCGGGGCACAACCAATTACCTAGGATAGTTTACTGTTCTTTTTTTTTAAACTGAACCGATTAAAAACAACAAAGCTACTCAGTTGGAGAGAATTAAGATATGAATAATAAATATTGGGAAGCACTAGGGTATGAGATGCCCAAATCTCTCACAATCTTATCGCCCCTCTCTCTCACACACACAGACTAGCCTTCACCTCATGCCAGTTTGTCTGATGGTGTAGTAGTGTGTACATCTGGGAGCATCTCTCATGTTTTCAGCCATGTGACAAAAATGGGGGAAGGGAGAACCCAAGGGAACTCAGAGAGAAGTGTTTTAACCGTATTAACTAAAGCAGATGCTTTAAACAAGACTGCTGGACGAAAGCCCCGTGGTGGTCCAGAAGAAGAGGCGGATGATTAGTGACTCAGATGAACAACATGAAGATACGAGCAGATGTAAAAACAATAACTGCCCCAACGTGGACTCAAATACACACTGGCATATAGATCGAAAGCGCGAGGCTTTACAAAGGCAGCATGGGTAATGGAGAGTGGAGATAACAAACCCTGGAGCTGTTCTTGCACTGCTGTTTTTTTAGGCGTCTGTTCACGCACAATCAGATCCAGGAATGACTGCTTTTGCCCTGGGTGACACTGACTTCAGCAGACCACTTTGGTGTGCTACACTAATTTAGTAAAAAGCAAGTACAATTTGTTCTTGAGTGCCTCAGCGCGCATTATCCAGAACATCCGTGTGTGACATGACCCCTTTCTCTCGCTTTTTTGCGTCCTCCTCCTCGTTCACTCGCTTACAAACTGTTCTTTTTGCTGATTTGATTTCTTAGTGTACCGTTCAGACCATCATCTCACACTGTCCTCACTGCCATCTAAGAGTTTTTGTCATTGACAGCTAGAATTTATGTAAGCTTGAACTAAACAGTGAGTCATATTCATTTTGAAAATGCTCAACATCTGCCATTGGCATTCAGCTTTTAAAATCTCCACATTAGAAATTCATTAACACTTAATGAGCAGGTCTCTAAATTAGTCGCACTAGCAAACATTTTAGCTCCAAATGGCAATCGACCAAAATGTCCCAGCTGATCCATTCCAAATGTTTGAGACCTTTTAGAACTCAAAACTCCCCCTGCAGTACAAAAAGGCCATTTATTGGAACTAAGCTGCAAAAGGGCTTGTTCAGAATGCTTCGGTGGGCAACTTGGCTTGCTCATTAGTAAAACAAGAGGAGAAGGGAGGATATTATTAGTCAGAAGAGGAAGATAAAGCACTAGGGATGCTCCGATCAGGATTTTTGCAGCCGATACTGAGTACCGATTTCTTGTCATGGTGATCGGCCGATACCTATGCCGATTCTGATGCTTCAAGCTTTATATAGATGCCTGGCACGAAGTTAACTTCCAGTCTGTGTTTGTTTATCAGTCTGGCTATGGCACCGGCTACAAACGCAGTGGCATTTATGATCACTGCTGGATCAAGCCGCTGCATTGTTTTTTTCCTGAGGTAATCCAAAGCTTCTTGAGGTGAATTCTGTCTTATTCCTCTCA